CTAAAAGCCTAAGGGCTAAAATACTACAAGACCCAGTCACCTCTTTGGCATGGACAAAACCAAGGAGAGTGGACCTTAAGTCGCTCCTAGAGCCTTAGGGCTAAAAACACTGAATTGACGAAGACCTTGGTAGGTCAGGCCCGAAAAGGACAAATCGGCATTCAAGCAAGTAGCCCGTGTGCGGAGTGCATTGTGTGGAGTTACCCCTACTAATAACCCTAGTAGACAGCCCAGGGTGACAAACACTTGGAAAAATTCCATTTTGGTTACCCTTACTCGTTACCAAGCTCGGTAACTCGACAGTTCGGGGTAACCCACACATTTTGGAGTAACAAACAATTTGTACTCCGGTTATCCTTACTCATTGTCCAACTTCGTAGCTCGACAATTTGGGTAACCTATACATTTGCTGCCTAGATTGGTAGTTATCTGTACTTAGAATATCTTTTACACAAAGGACTACTCAAAAGATTGGTATTTCATTCAAAAGAAAAGTGCAAGTACATCGTTTTTGTTCTGACCCAAGCTCAATGGCTTCGGGGTGTACATCCACGATTCAAAAAAAATAAGGGAAGGGAAAAAAGAAGAAGAAGCTATCACGTAGGAGGACTGCCAACCATATTCGAGGGGTCCACCACTTCGACCTCGTCATCACTCTCCTCCCTTGACGAGTCAGGCTCCTCGTCTGCTACCTTGGCCACTCCGAGGGCTAAGCCCGACATCGTAATGGCACCGAGGTCGAGATCAGGGAACATTCGTCGGACCAGGTACCTGCACAACTTGAACCCAGAGCGATATGAGCTCGAGCCATATTCAACCTGCAAAGCGCGAAACTCTAGGGACTCCTTGAAGTGCTCAATGGCTTGGTTCCTTTCCTCTATCTACGCCTCCTGGATGGCGGTCTGGAGGACTTGGGTATGCTCCTGGACCATGGCCTCGAGGTTTTCAACCTCTCACTGAAGTAGTGCCTTCTCTTCAGTTAGTGCGGAGATCTGCCCATCCTGGACCGGGATCTCTAACTCATTTCTTGTAGGTACGTCAGTCCACGTGGTTGGTGACAGTCAGATCGTCTCTATAGCAGGGAGCAGTTGGATGACGCCACATCACCAACTTTTGACAACCAAACGGTTATCAGAAGAATAAAAAGCATACTTTTCGTCTTTGTTTGTTTCTTGCATTTTCTTTGCAAATTCTTGATAAAGGATGTATTATTATCTGTTTGCTCTTCTTCAATTAAATCAATATTTATTCAACACCCACTTATAGTTTAAGATTCAATGTTCACCCGGTCAAATTTTTTTTTTTTTTTTGGTGAATCAGTCGAAGTTCACAATATTGACAAAAAGGAAGCAGCCATGAAAATGAAAATTAAGCATGAAAAGGAACCTGCTGTGCTCGGTCTAACTATTTTTGTTCCCATCTTTAGTAAATAATTGGCTTTCCAACATTATTTTTGGAGAATAATTGCGGTCTGCCTTCTTTCTGGTATCGTTCGATCTATTTAATAAGAAGAGAATGAAAAGGAGCTAGCCTTGTATGGCCATGTCATGTCTGTAGACCATAGTCAGAACTCAGAACTGTTAGTAAAAATGGAGAATATTCTTCACCGTTTTCGATTGCTTCTTCTCCTTCTGTGTTGCTGCATGAACAGCATTGCTGCTCTTGACGCCAACACTGATAGAGAAGCTCTGCTATCCTTCAAATCCATGGTTTCTGACCCTCGAATTTCTCTTATTGGGTGGAATCAGAGTGTCCCTCTGTGTGCCTGGTTTGGTGTCTCTTGCACCACCACCCAAAAGCGAGTCCGCTCACTACTCCTTGTCCGACTCGGGCTTTCCGGTACCATCCCCCACCAGCTTGCCAACCTCACCTCTCTTGAAATTCTTGACCTTTCCAGCAATGATTTCCATGGCCCAATTCCTCAAGAGTTCAGTAGTCTCGCTCGCCTTCAACATCTCCATCTCTTTAACAACTCCCTTGCCGGTAGCATTCCCGTTGCTCTCTCTCGCTGCTCCAACCTTGTAAGCTTAACTCTTCCATGGAATCAACTTACCGGTAGCATCCCCAGCGAATTTGGTCGTCTCTCTATGCTCAAAATTCTCCAACTCTCGAAGAACAACCTAACAGGTACCATCCCTCCTACACTTGGAAATCTCTCTTCTCTTACCGTGCTCGGCCTTTCACAAAACGAATTAGTGGGTAGAATTCCCAATGAGTTGGGTCATCTCAAAAACCTAGTCACTCTTCAGATCTCTGTGAATCAACTCACTGGTGAGATCCCTCATTCGATTTTTAACATCTCCTCTCTGGAGTATATCTCTGTAACACAGAATAGCCTCGTTGGGAAGCTAATGGTCGACATGGGTGTTGGCCTTCCGAATCTAAGGCAACTCTACATGGGGATGAACAAGCTTGAAGGACCAATACCCAGTTCATTATCCAATGCTTCACAAATTCGAGTCCTCGATCTTTCTTCAAATCTATTTCAAGGATCATTTCCTTTACTTGGCGGGCTGAAAAATCTAGTCTCCTTGAACCTAGGCTATAACAACCTTACTTCTACCACGGAGCTCAACATTCAAATTTTTGAATCTCTAGCAAATTGTATCCAATTGGAGGAGTTCATAGTACCTTCTAATCAACTGGCTGGAGAACTACCCAGTTCTACAGCAAATCTATCCTCTCATCTCCAAGAGTTCTGCGTGGACAGAAATTTTCTGTCAGGCGGATTCCCACAAGGGATAGAGAAGTTTCGCAACCTCACGGTCTTATCACTCTACAAGAATTCTTTTAAAGGCGCCTTACCGTCCTCCATAGGACAGCTTCACAACCTACAAAGGTTTTCTCTTTACCAGAACATGTTCTCCGGAGTGATTCCGGATAGCTTCCGCAATCTTACTCAACTATATCAGCTGTTTATGGCAAATAACCAGTTCTCTGGTACAATTCCCAAAAGTATAGGGGATTGCCAGAGTCTACAAGAATTGGGTCTAGACCGTAACAAACTTAGTGGAAGCATACCCAAGGAGATTTTCAGGCCCTCAAACTTAAGGATCCTGAGCTTGGCTCGAAATGCTCTAACTGGTTCTCTGCCAACTGAAGTAGATGGGCTTCATCAGCTTATGTTCTTGGACATCTCTGACAATCAGCTATCAGGTGCTATTCCAGCAACCATTGATCAGTGTTCCAATTTGCAAAATGTTAGCATGGCTAGAAACAAATTCAATGGCTCAATCCCAAGATCAATTGGCAAATTGGCGGGGCTAGAGAGCTTGGACCTTTCATCTAATAATCTTTCAGGTCCATTCCCAGATGAGTTGGGGAATCTTAGGGTGTTGCAGAAATTGAATCTATCTTTTAATGATTTGGAAGGACAAGTACCAAGAAACGATTTCTTCAAAAACCTTAGTCGGGTTTTTCTGCAAGGAAATAGTAAGCTCTGTATTGTTGAGGATGAGATTGCAGGAAAATTGGGAATCCATACTTGCACTAGTACTACAAGAAGAAGGGAAAAGGGATCTGTTGCACCCAAGATCATCATTCCAATTGTTAGCATCGTTACGCTTGGCATTCTGTTCTACTCAGTAAAGGTATTGATAGACCAGAAGAAGAGAGGTAAGGAGAGTAACTCACTTCTCTCCTTCAAAGGGCAGCGGCCTAAGATATCCTACTCACAGATATTGGCTGCTACAAATGATTTCGCTGAGGAGAATCTGATAGGGAAAGGTGGATATGGTTCTGTTTATAAAGGAATCATCAATGGAGGTATAGAAACAGGTGAAGATGGAAGCCCTACCCTAATCGCAGTAAAAGTTCTCGACCTGAAACAGAGCAAAGCAGCTCAGAGCTTCACAACAGAATGTGAAGCGTTAAGGAATGTTCGGCACCGGAACCTTGTGAAGGTCATCACCTCATGCTCAAGCATTGATCATAGAGGAGACGAATTCAAAGCCTTAGTTATGGAGTTTATGTCCAACGGAAGCCTTGACAAGTGGCTGCATCCAGAGGACACCGAGTCTGGTTTGAGTCTGAACTTGACCCAGAGGCTAAACATTGCCATTGATGTAGCTTCTGCCATGGATTATCTACATAATGACTGTGACCCACCTGTTGTTCATTGTGATCTGAAACCTAGCAACATACTTTTAGACGACAACATGCGCGCTCACGTAGGGGATTTCGGACTGGCAAGGCTTCTCTCAAAGTGTCCAACTCAAGTGCAGAGCAACACTATAGGAGTTAAGGGTTCTATTGGTTACATCGCTCCAGGTATCAAACGCAAGAACTCCGATTAGAAATAATAAAACATTCTCAAATTATTTTCTTCTATTTCATTGTTCATAGAATTCTCATTATGGATATTTAAGATTTCAATTAATCCTCTTTTTGGTGTCTTAGAATACGGTATGGGAGGCAAAGCTTCAAAAAGTGGGGACGTCTACAGTTATGGGGTCCTACTGTTGGAGATGTTCACAGGAAAGAAACCCACTGATGAGATGTTTAAAGATGGTAGATGTCTGAGCCAATTCGCATCAGCAGTGTATGGAAATGGAATTTCAGAAATTGTTGATTCAAGGCTCTTTGAAGATGATAATGATTCAGAGCATAACGGCAGCACCAGCAATCCTAGCTTTGATAACATCACTACCATTAGAAGTAGCAGCAGCTCTACCAATAATTCTCGTAGAAGGGAAGAATGTCTGGAAGCAGTTGTCAAGGTTGGTTTGTCATGTACAGCAGTTTTGGCTAAGGATCGTTTAACCATGAGAGAAACTCTAACAAAGCTGCTTCAAAACAAACAGACTTTGTTAGAGTCATGAAATTGACAACTTTCCTCTGTTTTATGGATTTGCATATTTGTATACCAGTTAAACCAGACTTTCTACTTTGAACGAGAGGAACGAATTATCTACCATTTCTACAACCTTTGAATTTTATAATGGGAAGATCGAGCAAGAGGCGCATTAATATACAAAATGTATATCTGTTGAGAAAATGGAAAGAAAACACAAAACAGAGCACACAAAACGAATACAAAGTTAACATGGTTCAGTCATGGAACGGATTGCAATTGGAATTCATTCAAGCCTCAAGGCACCAACACAATAATATCAGATAAAATGAATTCAAACCTCAAAACAAGAAAGTTTTATATTATTGAAGCAAATTGGTCTTTTCATACATTAAAGAGGAGTTAATTATAATTAATACGAGAAATGATCTGATAATTACAATTGTTTTTTCTATTTAAAATTTTAAATTAGAATGGTAAAAAATTGGATCATGCATTTAGTAAGGGAATTGTATCCCTACAATCTACATCCTACTTCGCTTTGATAAAGCTGACGTATCCCTGCATTCTAATCGTCATACCCCAATTAACACAAAGTAGGGAAACAAATCCATGAGACGACCCATGAAATCAATGGTCCAAGAAGGTCAACTTTTAGAAGATAATTGTTGGATATATTCAGTTTGTTCAAAGCTTTTTCCAGTATCATGTCTTTCCGCCGGTATAATTTTTTATTTTGTTTGTAATGGTTAGTGTTAGATAAATTCAGATACGACTGCTTCAAAAAATGAATTAGTTGAAGCCTATAAGCTGAATACCACCGTTGGTTCTTCCCTTCTCTAGAAAAAGGTGATGACGACGGAGACCACCCTGTATTGCTTTCATTTCATAAAATGCCAATCCTGGGTTCCATGCTGAAGAAATGCTTTTATTTTTGGGTAAAAGATTTAAACTTATCCTAAACTTTTAAAACTAAATTAAATATACCTTGTGGACGACCCAAATGAAACATACCTTCCGTTATAAAATATAAAAATGTTAAAAACCCGTTAACATAAAACATYACTTGAGCTGTTTAATTTCTTTAAGAGTTCTGTTTTGCCCTTCTTTTCTCAGCTAATATAGATCTAAGTTTTGCTAACTAAACTATAGTTTTAAGGAAAATGGATGATCCACACCTATTGGACAAAATGTCTGAGTGGGACCAATCTAGAATACCTCTCCCCCACCACACACACCCAATCTCCCTACCTTGCATAGTTAGCCTAACGCTAGGAGATCACTATTCTGGTCATTGGTTTTTGGGTTAATGATTCAATAATATGGTTCGAACGGATGGTTCGTTCTGACAAAAAAAGTTMAAAAAAAATTAAAAATAAAAAATGGCCATAAATCATTGAACAGGTTGATGGATAGACTGGGYTTAGGGTAAAATGGAACTGATTGCCAAACAGTTTCCGGGCCAAATGGTCCAACCATCTTGATCAGAGGCATTTAAGGCATCACATATATGTAGGTAATCCCACTCTTCAAGATAAAGTGTATTGTTTAACGAGTCAGACTTAATTTGGTCTTCAAAAAAACATCTAGATGTTTGAGGAAGACTTACCACAATGCATGGTAGGCCTCCTAAATCAAAACCCAATCCGTCTCTAAYGCTACGATTGTGAATCTGCCATCTACAAGACTGCCCAATACACGATGGGGATGTGCTATGGGATGTTGTGGGGCGAAGTCTTGTTGGGGACTGATTTGATCTTCTACGATAGAAAATAAGAGGGAATAGAAAGTTGAGGGGAATTCTTAGGAATTGTTGTGAATTTTCTTAAAAATCTTCCCTCAACTTTTTGATTCTCTTGCTTTCTGTCAAATCAAATATAGCCTAAAAAAAAAACATACTAACCTATGCATTTTCATTTGGCCAATGGGGAGTGACTTGTGACCCTCTCCCCTAAGGCTCGGTTTGGAAGGAATACAAAATGCAAATTCATAGAGTACAAAACCTTGCATTTTATATTATTTTGTATGTATTTATATTGTATAATTATATTTATACTCTTTTCAAATATATAAAGTGTAAAACCTTCTATTTTATTTTATTTTATATATATTTACACTATATATATATATATATATATATTTATACTCCTTTCAAACTAAACCTAAAGCCCAAAACCCCTGACTTTGCTGAAGTGAGATTCATCCCCGGCTCTCAACTTTAGCAGACTATCAAGCTAGCTGGTGCCTAGCACGTCTACCACCGTTGGACGTGTAATATAAAAATGGAAAATTATGGTTCATGCTTAAATTTTCAATGGTTTCAATCTATTTTTTCGATAAAATTTTAAGCCTTATTATTGATTATTACCTTTTAATCCCCAGAATTGGCATCTCTTTTAATACTTATATTAACATGCCGTACGTGTACGTGTACGTGTACGTGTATAAAATTATAACCTACCTTAATTGAACTTTGTTAATTGTGTGTGTATCTTGCAATGGATAAAGAAAGGTAATAAATTAGTGGTCTTCAATGGATCAGGTTGATTTTAACTTTTAATGGACAAAGGCTGCATTGTGCGCCGAAACAAGTAAATCAAGGTCATGACCCCACCATCAATGCTCCTTGGGTCGCTGCCCAAGGTCACGATTTTCTTCTTCTATTTTAGCCTGAGCAATGAGCATAGTAAAAGTGAAGTCAAAGCTTGTGTTTTACCTAACGTCATTAACCAGGTCCAGCAACAACAACGAAATCAAAGCCTCGATGAAGTGACGTCGTTAAAGGACATCAGTCATCAGCTATACCTCATACCTCATCGGCTGCCGCTTATCTCGATTCTCGAACCACCCATTACATATTTACATATTTACATTACATACCAATGGTCGATGGGACCGAAGAAAAGTCTAAATAAAAAACTGTACGACGCGATTCGATTTACGAAGACAACCATCACACGCAAGTATTAAAGTATTTTAGTTGGACAATTTCAACAATTCTCTCGGTTATCTTTTTTCCCTTATTCTTTTCTATTCGCTCACGTGACAATCCTCCGCAAACCATTTGAAAACCGGCACGACCGGTGCATCTGCCTTGCACATGTACGAGTGATTGCGATTTGACGGATTGAGCCCGGCACAAATGGTGCATGTGCGTTAATTATATCAATTTTGATAGAATCAACTTCATATTCTCTAGGATAGATTGCCCGTTAGATACAACCTTGATGTTCAAGCTGTAAAGTCTAAATAAAAAACTGTACGATGTGATTTACGAAAACTATCATCACATATCATAGAGATTGAGATTAGCACAAGTGGTGTATGTGCGTTGACTACATCAATTTTAATAGAACTTATTCAAATGACAACTTCCTACTCTCTATGATAGACTGCCTATTAGATACAACCTTGGGGTTCGAGCTGTTGAGCTTTATAGATGCTTACTCCGGTTATAATCAAATTCAGATGGTTCGAAGGGTCCAACCGACTAGGTCAGCAATGGGTTAAAAATATTGATATCAGTTTGGGTCGATTTGATTTTGGTTAGTTTAGCCAAAACAAAACTTACCTAACACAGTACGGTTGGGAAATTGCTAAACCAAACCTGAATGGAAATCTGAATGGAAATACTAGAAAGTTACCTAGCACGGTGGGGTTCGGGTCACTGGTCGACACACAAGAGATTTCATTGTCCTTATTAGTGACTGTGGTTTGATTGATATGGGATTTCATGGACTAGCTTACACCTGGACCAATAAGCGTTCAGCTCACATATTAATTCAGGAGCACTTGTTCAGTGCAATTGCACCAAACTTGTGAAAATGGGTTCAATCTCGACGTTGTTAAGGGCAAGGGGAAGAAGAGAGATTGGGGGAGAGAGAGAGAGAGAGGAGAGAAAAGGGGAATGTGAAGTTGTGGAAGATGAACAGTAATTTTTTAGTCAGAATAGTTATTACAAGATTAGTATGTGGATTAAAAAATATTAGAGACCGCAAGGCTAACGGAAGGGGGTCTTTGTCTCGTGGTCATAATACAAGGAGGTCTTTATCACAAAACAAAGTACAGGGGGTCTTTATCACAGACCCCATAATACAGGGGGTTCTTTGCAATTTACCCTAAATTTTATTAACAATACAAATAAGTCGTATAAGGGATTGGGGGATGTAAAAGCCTTACTTTTCTAGAAAATCTATTTAGACCGAGGTCATCCAAACTATAAAACATATACAAACAAAAAGGATAAAGATGATCTCAAAAATAAATAAACATTTAAGTAACTCATAATAAAAAGGGAATCCCAGAGCCATCATTCTTCAAAAGCCTTTGGGCTTTAGTGGGTAATTGATGAAATGAGTTATAAAATTTTATGTTGATTGTTCCCTACTTTTTGAAAGCCCATCAGCCACTTGATTAGCCTCTTTCTCTCTCTTTCTCTATCTCTAATAGTCATCAAATACCTCGAAGAATGAAAGTTCCATGTACAACAAAAAGTGGCTATCAAATAACTCTATTAAGAGTTATTCATTATGTTCAATTCATGCCACAAGATTTGCAGGTATTCAGTCATCATCCTTGTTAAATTCTACAAACAAGATGATTTTTGTTTTTCTTATTAATCTCAAACTTTAGGCGAAATGACCACCTTAAAATTACTCATGTCCATAGCTTTTTTTTCATTTCCTTTCTCACTTTCCATCTTTCTTCCAATTGGTTCTTTACTTGGTTTGGTCTTCCATCTTTGATCCAACTGTTTCATGTTTAACTGATTTTGGTGAATCTGCTCTACTCAATTCATCTTTAATTGATTTTGATGAATCAGTTCTAGTCAGGACAAATCGTGAAAGAAAAGAAAAGAAAAAAAATAAAAATTAAAGCAAATAAACTTCAATTTCATTATTGTGAAAATGGCCTAGCCCTCGAGCTTCTAGCATATTACTCGGAATAGTCATACGTGACCTCACAAGACGTGCTCCAGCACTACGATGCATCTAAATCAGAAAAACAAAATAAAAGACCTAAAAAGTCAAGAACCAATTAGAAGGGATGGAAGGAAGAAAGGAAATATTGAAGCAGTCAATGGGATCTTTGATTCTCCCTCTAAGATGACTGGGTATTCCCTGAAG